AGAAGGGTGTCAAATCTCCTGGAACAGGAGTTACGGACAGTTGTTAGCCTCCATGTGGGTGCTGAGATTCAAACCCTGGTCCTCTGCAGAACAGCCAGTGCTCTTAACAGCCAGTGCTGAGCCATCGCTCCAGCCCCCCATCATTTTCTTCTTTTATGGTTCTAGGGATCAAAACTTAAGTTTAAGTTAAGTTTAAGAATAAGTATTCATTCTACCACTCAGCTATACCCAAACATTTGGATACTTAATTCATAATATATAGAAATGCTACTAATTTTTAAATATTGATTTTTATGTTCTATAAATTTACTATATTTATTAGTTTTCAATGTTTCTTTGGTGGGCTCTTTAAGGTTTTCTCTATTAAAATTCAGGGGGGTAGGGCCAGGCGTGGTGGTGTACACCTTTAATCCCAGAACTTGGGAGGCAGAGGCAGGCAGATCTCTGTGAGTTCAAGGCCAGCTTGGTCTACATAGTGAGTTCCAGGACAGCTGGGGCTACAGGGAGGCCCCGTTCCAAAAAAAAAAAAAAAAAAAAAAAATCAGGTTTTTTTTTTTGTTGTTCATTTTTCCAAGAAGCAGTGACAGTCTCACTCATTTTTCCTATTTGGATGCTTATTATTTCAGTCCCCTGACTAACTGGCTTGGCAACACCTGTAACTACTGTGTTAGAATTAGTGAGAGTAGCTATCTTTATCTTACTTAGTTTTCACCAGTTGTTAGTTGTGGCTTGTTACGTGTGGCTTCTATGGTGTTGAAGGACGTTCTGTCACTTATTGAGAGTTTTGATCATGAAAGGATATTGAACTTTTTCAAATGTTTTTTTCATTTAATAAGATAGTTTTGTCTTCCAATCCATTGGTATGGTGTGTGATATTTAGTGACTTTGATATTCTGAACCATCCTTGTAATCCCAGGGATAAATTCTACTTGATCATGCTGAATCAGTCTTTTAATGTGTTGCAAATTCAGCCTGATAATATTTTGTTGAAGATTTGTTGCTTATATTTATTAAGGATATTTGGCCATAAATTTCTTTTCTTGTATCATTTTGGCCTCCAAAAGTTTGAATATTCTCTCTTCGTCAATATTTTGGAAGAGTTTGGGAAGGGTTGCTATAAGTTCATCAGATGTTTTGAATAATTCAGCATTGACTTTTTCTCATGGAACACATTTTAATATTAATCTCTTTGCTCATATTTCATATTTCTTTATGAGTCAGTCACAGTGGGTTGTATGTGTCTAGTAGGTTTTTCTAGGTTACGTAGTTTGTGACTGTTGAGTAGCTGGTAATCATATTTTATTTGAACATAGTATCTTACTATGTTTGTGCTTCTGGGATGCAATTGTAATGTCTTTTTTTTAAAAACAGTCTCACTAAAGTTGGGCTGACTTTGCTCATCCTTAACCTTGCTGCCTTGTCATTCAGGGTATGGTCTCTCTTAGTATATGATCCGTGGGAACTTGAAAAGTACTCTGCTGCTGTGATGAGCTCTGTAAATGCTGAATCGGTCCTGTTGGTTGGAATTGCTTGATTTTCTTTATTTAATCAGATTTTCTATATCATTGTTCTCAGTTGTTAAAGAATTCCAAAGTCTTCCAACTGTAATACATTATATATTCTATAGCCCTGTTGTCTGGTACACACACATAGGATTACTTCATTTTCTCGGTGGCTTGATTTTATCTAATGTTCTTTTCTGCTTCTGGTAATTTTGCTTGTTCTGAAGCTTATCTTCTTTGATATCAGCATAGGCACTGTGTGTTGTTTTGGCTAATGTTTACATGGTACACCTTTTCCCATCCTTTTACTTCCAACCTGCCTATGTCATTACATTTGACATGAGTTTCTTAGAGACTCCTGTAGTTATTTTCTATGTTTAAATCCAATCTATCAGGTTCTATCTTTTAATTGATATTTTTAGATCATTTAAATTTAATCAAATTGGGGGCTAGAGAGATGACTCAGCAGTTAAGAGCACTGGCTGCTCTTGCAGAGGACCTGGGTTCGATACCAAAACAATCACATGGCAGCTGACAGCCATCTGTAACTCCAGTTTCAGGGGATCCAAGCATTGCATGACACAGGTACATCTACCTACATGCAGACAATACACTCATATGCATAAGAATAATAAATATTTTTAAAATAATCAAAATGGTTAATCAAATGGTTAAAGCTTAAGTTTTAAGCCATTTTATGTTTTTCTGTTTCTGTTTGCTCTCTGATTTTTGTTTTTCCATCTCAGCATTTTGTTTTGTGTCATGTTATTTTTGTCTTCCTATTGGTTACTTAATATATTGAGGAATTCTGTTTATCTATAGTATTTGGGGGAGATATTTTTGTATAACATTTTTCATGCTTGCTTTTGAGGGGTGTGTGTGTGTGTGTGTGTGTGTGTGTGTGTGTGTATGTATAACTTGTTCTAGTTTTCTGACACCATGATTTTATTATTTTGAATGGATAGAATCTTTTAAGTCCCTTTAACTCTTCCCTGTTTATGCTCATCTTAAATGTTGCCCCTCCATGCGTTTGGAACATTAAGGCATTTTAAACTGTGCTTCCATTGTCAAGCATAATTTAAAAAACTCATAAATCTATTGACCCACCTATGTATCTATTTGTCTGTCATCAGTCATCTATCTACATATTTTTGAGACAAAATCTCCTTATGTAGCACAGACTGACCTTAAAACCTTGATTCTTCTGCCTTAACCTCCTGGATGTTGAGATTCTAGGTGTGTGAACCACACCCAGCATATACTTTTTTAAAAACATTTATTTCTTGTGTATGTGTATGGCACACATGCTTTCCATGACATGCATGTCGAGGTTAGAGGACAATTTTGGGAGTTGGTTCTCTCCTACTATGTGGATCTTGGGCTCAAACTCATGTAGTCAGACTTGGTGGCAAGGACCTTTACCTGCTGAGCCATCTTACCAGCCTCCAGTTTATACTTTTATTTTATTATTTTATTCCTATCTGATGCTCCAAGTTTCCATCTTTTATAACCTGGTGTTTAATTTCAAGTTAGAGAATTTCCTTTAGCCTTTTTTAGAGTAGGCCTGTTGATAACGAATGTACATACTTTTACCTGAGGGCATCTTGGTTTCCTCTTCATTGATGACTACTTTTGCTGAATTCAGGGGATTCTGGGTTGCTAGGTTTTTTTTTTTTTCTTTCAGTACTTGAAAGATGTTATAGTGTAATCTGAGTAATTGTTCTCCTATGAAAAACATTATTATCTTTTTAGTGTTTTCTTGTTCATGTTTTCAGAAATTTGACATTGATCTGTTTTGGTGTGGATCTACTCATCTCTAGTCTGTTTTGAGTTCCCTTGGCTTCATAAATCTTTGGGCTACTATGTGTGCCTTTTATCATATTTGTTCAGTTTTGTTGACTTATTTTTATTTCTATTTTTGAAACAGGGTCTCACTATATAGCCCTGGCTAGCCTGGAACTCACTATGTAGACCAGTTGGCCTCAAACTCAATTTTCATACAATATAGTTTGATGGCATTTAGATCTCTTCCCTCTTAGGTTTTTTTTTTCCTCTTTGATATTTGACAGGAATCCATGGAATATTATCCAGAACTTCCAGCTCTTTAACTAGACAGTGAGCTTTCTTGTTTTTTGTCTGTACACATTGGTGTTTCCAAATTGCCAGCTGGTTTTTGTTGTTTGTTTTATAACAGTTACAAGTCTGGGCTACATAAGGGAAAAGGAAACTAGAGAGAAGCTTAAGCACTTGTCATCCTCAGTAGTGTGCCTTCGCCTCTCCACGTTCAGGTCTCATGTTTGCTGTCCACATCTCTCTGCTCTGCTTCGGCTTTGTCACTATTTTCTAAAATTTCCATTTGCTTCCTCTTTGTGTCTTCTAGTGTTTGATTGACTATTTGTTATGTATCACTATCCAGTGGAGTTGGAGATCTCTGCTCCCTAGGTCTTGAAAACCCCCAATGAAGCATTAGGGATACCTCATTTCAGCATGACAAGGCTCCCCTCTCCACACCTTCCCCTACTTCCCCCGCCCAATTTAGTGAACTCATGTATATATGTCTATGGCCTATAGAGTATGGTTTATGTCCCCCAGTGTCCTTCAGTGTGGATCCATTGACTGGGCCCACCCACAGTCCCATCCCTATAAGACACTATCTTTCCCCGTGGTCGCCGGCTGTGGCTGCTCTCCTCCGGCTATGGCTGCTCTCCTGCTCTCTCAGTTCCTCTGATCAGTCGTCCTGTCCGGACCCCAGGGCTGGTGAGGAGTCTGCACCAGAGTCGCCACATTCAGACGCAGGAGATCAGGTTCAGCGACACAGATCTGCTTTATTGCAGGAAAGTACCAGCTTATATAGGGGTAAGAGTCCAATCATAACACAGCACATGGGATCCCTTATTAGCATGGCAGACTACTACCCTATTACAATCTAGCAGGCCAGATGCCCTATTAGCATGATAAGTTTCAGTTTCTCTAAGTTTCGGATTCCTGGAAGCCATGTGACTTACATAGTTTTCTCTCTAATAAGAAACAGGAAACACTGCATTCCAGCATGATAGGTATGTAAGGCAAAAGGCAAAATCAGTCACAAGATTTTGCGTAACACCCCTCCCAGTAGCCATCCAGTGTCAAAAGCTCCTTAGGTTGGAAGTTCTTACCTACTTCCCCTGTCTATGCTGGGATTTTGTGGGATTTGAGCTTTAATATATCATTTTATAACACTGCTTGATACATCAAAATTACTCGAACTCAGTGGCATAATATCATTTGTTTCATCCTCTGGTTTTGTTCCTCCTCAGCATACTGAGTACCTAAAACCATGCCTATAATATTGCCATGTGGCTGTGCTCACTAATCATTAGTGGTGACTAATCCTGCAATTTTAAATGTCAGCGCAACAAATTTTCACACTAGGCATATGAACTAAACTATTAGATACCTCTGAGTTATTTTTAGTCATTTGGAATGAGAACTAAGTCTGTGGAAAATTTTAACTTTCAGATCATTTTTGTACAACCATCTTTTTTATGCTGATGATTTGTTTCAAACTTGTTTGCTTTATATAAGAGGACTTTGTGAAGATGCACTTAATCTCAAGAAGAATGATGGAGACAATCCATCAGCTATATGTCTTGTAAAGATGAGTGGAAGCATGCTGCCAAGTAAGTCAGCATTAGTATGCACAAGCTGCAAAGACAAAGTAGCGTTTTGAATAAAAGGCACATATGTTTCTAGAGCCATAAATAAATCATCACTGTGGATGACTGATGTGATAAAAATAGCAGCAAACAACAGAACAGTATTTCTCTGGAAGTCATTTTAGTAAACATTCTTTAGAATTTCTTGTTGATGTTTCAACAAAAGTGTACAAGTCCTTTATTTTTAAATCTCTATAAAATGCAAAACCATTTCTGATTAAGTAAAGCACATAGTAGTTACTAGCTATTTTTCTCTTGGTATAGCATGTCAAAAACTTATCCCAGGTTGTAATTCAGAGATTTTTGTTATGTTAATTTTCCTGTTTCAGTATTCTAGAAAAGATGAGCTTACTAATGGGCTGATTTAGTTTATCATATAGTTTTGAAACTCTAAGTCTAACCCTAAATAAGGCTATCCTCTGGACTTCCTTGCATTTCTGCAATATGACTGCTTTATAAGTATTTGCCAGGAAACTTTCTTAGCTTGATATTTTGCTAAATGATTAGTTAGTATGATAAAATAAAAGGACTACCTCTATCATGAATTATTTTTATATGTAAAGAATTTTTCTATTCAATAAAGCAGATTGACAACAGCAATGGTTTGATTGCTTTGTGTTCATCTCCTTTGCACAGTACATAAAGTCAATTAATAAATACTTGTCTATTACTTGTTATTCTCCTGCCTGCCTGGTCAGAGGGAAAGCTGATATGGCTGAAATCTGCAGGGAATCTTCACATCCCTTCCCTGTTACTAAGTGCCCCTTTCCCCTGGCATCTTAGACAAAGACTTACAGATTTCCTGGACTCCTTCCCCTGCCTACTCATCAGTAGTTGATGAATTTTGTCACTCAGTTTATTCATAGGGTAACCTAAAGTAGGTGTTTCCTTCTATATGAAAACTCTATCAAAAATATACTTCTGTGAAATGTTAAGTTGAATTTAATACTTCTGAAATAATATTCACCCAAGCATGATGACACAGATTTATAATCCCAGCACTGGGAAAACTAAGGCAGGAGGATCACAAAGTAGAGGCCAGCCTGGTCCCCATATCAAGTTCCAGGCCAACCTGAGATATATAAAGTCTTATAAAACTGAAGAAAGGAAATACTAATATTAATGTCCTCAAGATAGCTGTGCAAAATATATAGCTATTTTATCCGTAGCTATTAATTCATTTTCCCGAGTTAATTCCTTTGCTCAAAAAATATGCAACAATTAGTATACAGTGTTGATTCTAAAAATACGTTGTTTTACAAATAATGACCTTATTCCATTCAGATAGTCAACACAATAAACTTTTCAGATTATCAAATTCAAAACTTGTCCAAAATTTTCTTCTTCTAAATACAGATAACTCCAGCAATTTCACTTTTTATTATCTCCCTTGCATACAGGGATAGTGAATTAAAATCTTCACTTGTTCAACTGTATATTAAACATCTAAGATTTATAGTTCTATGTGTTTATCTTTTCAAAACTATATGATAAACTAAACATGTATCATTTTGTCCAAAATTTCATTTTCAAAGGCAGAACTGGGAGAGATCATTATTTATTCAAGTTGACAGAATAGGCAGAAACTTTGGATTATGTTTCACATTCAAGAGTGAAGTCTGGATTTTGGAAGAGTATTTTGGACACTTAGTGAGGAGGCAGATCCTGTGTCTTGTCCCTTTGAGGAGAGGGCTAATATTCTACATTTTTAAATTATTTAATTTATTTTTTTATTTTATGTGTATGAATATAATGCCTGCATGTATATAAGTGCACCTGTGTCATACAATGCCCACAGAGGTCAGAAGAGGGCATCAGATTCCTGGAACTGGAGTTACAGATGTTTGTTAGACACCATGTGGGTGCTGGGAATCTAACCCCGGTCCTCTGCAAGAGCAGCCAGTACTCTTAACTGCTGAACCAGCTTTCCAGCCCTGATAATCTACATTTTAAACAAGTATCTCAGGTAATTCTGATGCCAAGTACATTTTGAGAAATAACTAAAGGGAACACTGAGAGTTTCCAAGCTATTTTAGGAAAATTCCTGGTTTGTAGAAAAATATTAAGTACAGAGAAAATAGTGTTAAAGAAGTAATATACTAAACCAACACAGGCATAAACAAAATGGAATTCATTACAATATTGGTGGTAAACCAGAAATGGAGAATTTGAGACATTTTTTACTGAAGAAATTCAGAACTGGTATTAGACAAGGGACCCAGAGAAGGAGAAAACAGAATAAATCCAGAATCATGAGCTAGATCGGTCGCTTTCAGTCACTCTGTTGCTGTGTGGCTCATACATCTAACTTTGACTGCATCTGATAAAGTGCTCTGTGTACTCACTGATTGAATAGATTGTGGCAAAAGAATTTACACACTGTAGGAAATAAAGTACTGAAGGATGAAGATTGGTGGCATGTGTGGATGGATGGCACATTGTTTCTGTGTGGTCAGCAACGAATCAATCGTGTACTTGGTGGAAATTTGTCCCTGTAAGATTTCGAATAAGATATATTTCTATTTAATTTTAACTTGCATGTATGTACAGTGTGTGTGTGTTTGTGCATTCATGTTTATGTGTATACGTGTGTGTGTGGAAGCCAAAGATAGATGTCAGCTGTCCTCTATAAATTTCCACCGTAGGTTTTGAAACAAGATCTTTCACTGAAGGTGGCATTCAGTTGACTTGCTATGCTGACTGGCATTTGAACTCCACATCCCCCCCGCCCCGGCTCTGCCTACTCAGATATGCACCACCACACCAGCTTTTCACTTATCTGCTTAGGACCTGATTCAGGCCCTCCTCTTTGCACAGCAGACACTTCACCAAGTGAGCCACATTCCCAGCCTGACTTTAACTTCCTTTTTAAAATCTTTTTTTATCTTATTTGATGTGTATGTGTGTATTGCCTGAATGCATGTAGGTGTACCTGTGTCATGCAGTGCCCCCAGAGGTCAGAAGAGGGCATTGGATCCCCCAGAACTGGAGTTAGACAGTTGTTAGTTGCCATGTGGGTGCTGGGAATTGAACCCGCCTCCTCTGCGAGAGCAGCCAGTCCTCTTAACCGCTGAGCCATCTCTCCAGCCCTGACTTAAACTTCTTTATTCAGTGTTTTATGTTCATGTTTTTAAGTTTACAAATAATTGGGGCTTCAAAAGCAAAAGTTTTGGGAATTGGTATTGTCCCTGGTTTCATAGATAATGCCTTTATTTTCTTGGTTTAAAAAAAAAAACTTTTTTGGGAGGCAGAGGCAGGTGGATCTTTGTAAGTTCAAGGCCAGCCTGGTCTACATAGTAAGTTCCAGTGAGTTCCAGGCTAGCTGAGGCTACAGAGAAACCCTGCCTCCAAAAAAAGACCAAACAAACAAACAAACAAAAAAACCTTAATTTTTAAGTTTTTCTGCTTCATCTTAACCCCAGTTATGATTTAAAATAATATTGTATTGTTTAAAATAATGTTGTATTTTCTTTTTTACTAAGATTTAATTACATTTAACTATGAGTATTTAAATTTGAAGAACACTTAATTCATAGTATGTAAAGCACAAAGTGTATAAAGTAGGATTATAAGATATGCCTTTCCATATATAAAAAACGACCATACACCTCATCTCTTGTTCTTTGAAAATGAATTTCCATTTTCCAATATTCAACATTTACTGTCATTTAATTAGCTGGATGGTTCTCAAACATATGCCCTAGATGAATTTTGTGAAGAACAGTTACAGCAAGCTACCCAGGCAGTGAGACAGCTGGAGGAGATCAGGAATAAAGCAATTTCAGAGATAAAAAGTACAATCTTAAAGGTAATTTTGTAATTGCATCCTTTCAGTTGCTCTGTACTGATTAGAGCAATTATCCCAAATTGCATTCCTGGGAAAGGTGCTAGAAACGGGCAGTCGTCTACCTGTTTACTGTGGAGAATTTTTCAGATGTGGTGTTGCATGCAAAGACATATGTATGTATCTATGCATTTGCGGATGTGTTTCTTTGAACATATGTAGAATATCTAGCTCTATCTGTAATTTCAAGATGCATGCTATCTAGCCTGAGCTGACATAAAAAAGGAACTTGATTCATTACAGAGTTCATTGTGCTCATAAGATAAAGAAAACTCCATTGCTCAGGAGAAATGGCCAGATGAAATAAAACTTCACTAAGGATTTTATAAAGAGGATTTGCTAATGCAATAAACAGTGTCTTCAACACATTCTTACCCTATATGCTGTCTCTCTGTGTAAGTACGTGTAACTACTTACTGGCACGTACTTTCTTATTTGACTTCCCAAACTGATCTGCTTTTGAGACTCCAAACTTTCCAAACATATAGTAGCTCACTTTTGGTCAGATGTTTAAATATAGTGCAAATATGAGGTGCAGTATTAAAGTTGTTAAAGTTTAGTTCTTCTATATTATTTATGCTAATACTGTGCTAATAGAGTGTTAATCTCCCTATTAACAAGGAAAGTATCACATTTCTCAATTACTCAATAAATTGTAGGTTGCAGAAAAGAAAGATATTAAGGAATATTTTGTGTCAAAAGCATCTGAGATTGTTACAACACATTTCAAGCTGCCTCAGTATCGGTGTTTACTAGGAACAAATTTGAGATTTCTGAGGCTGATTGACTACTTATTTTAAGAACTCATTCGTCAGCTTATGAATTCTGCAGTTACGGTGCTTTTGGAGTTTTTCATTGGTTCTGTTAGAATGCCATTTTCAAAGGAAAAAAAGAATGAAAACCTCATCAGGTAAATGATCTTTTTTGACTAATAAAAGGAAGTTGTATTCTTGTAATATATTACTATTTATGGAGAAAATATCCAATAATTGAAGTTAGAATTTGAAAAAAATCCTCCTTGGAGCAGACTTTATACTCATTTTTGCAATTCTCAGAACTTACTATTCAATAATACTTTAATACTGTCATAAAATTTTTAAAATTCCTATTTTTTAACATTTTAGTATATCTCTTTTCATGCAAAATGTAAGATGTGTGGAGAAATTTGAATTTTAGATAAACAACAAATAATTGTTGGAAATGCCCCAGATATTACCCATTCTAAAAGTTTTTTGTTAGTGATCTGAAATTCAAATTTCACTAAGTGCCCTATTTTCATTTGCTATATCTGGCAGAGTAAATATACTGTATTATTGAAAAGATGTGAGAACAGTTCTGCAAGGAGGACAAGTTTCAATTGGAATTTGAATCAGTTCGAAGAAGTATCTATTGTATGTTTTCCTAGCTAAGTGTTTGAAAAATATTTTTTGATATTCTGTTTAAATGCTATTGAAAACAAAGATCTACTGACAATTAAGTTGTAAAACAAGGACTGTAAATTGAAATAATGGAATAATTTATGTGCAAACTCTCAAAATTTAGCAAAGTTTCATGGGCAAAACTAGAAAGCTGAAAATATATCAATTAATAAAATTTTGAAGAACATGAAAAATAATGTTTCTCTTCTCTAGTTCCCCGAATCCCCAGGCTTGGTGACTGACTTTAGTTAGTGTCAGGACTTGAGAACACAGCTATTTGATGATAACACATTATAATTTTATTCTCTCTCTCTCTCTCTTTCTCTCTCTGTGTGTGTGTGTGTGTGTGTGTGTATGTGTGTGTGTGTGTGTGTGTGTTGGTAGGACAGTTTGTATACTGAATAGTGTTTTTTAAGAGAAATATTGCTGCAGCTAGTTCATCTTAGTGCAAAAAATGGAAAAACCAAAAAGTCACCCTTATTTCCTTTTTTTTTTTTTTTTTTTTCTTCTTTTTGAGATGACGTCTCCCTGGAGCTCCAGCTGTCCTGGAACACACTATATAGACAAGGCTGGCCTTGAACTCACAGAGATCCACCTGCCTCTGCCTCCCAAGTGCTGGAACTAAAGGCCTGCACCACCACACCTAGCCATATTTCTATTTCTTTTTTATTTAACTTTATTGAGAATTTCATACATGCATATGTTTTGACCAAATCCACGCCCACTCTTTCTCCTCCAACACCTCCCTTCCACATCACTTTTTTTCTGACAACTTCATATTCTTTCCCTCCCTTCCTTCCTTCCTTCCTTCCTTCCTTCCTTCCTTCCTTCCTTCCTTCCTTCCTTCCTTCCTTCTTTTCTCGTATTTTACT